GCACAAAGGCCACTTTAGTCACAGGAAACTGCCAGAGGGTGACTTATTTGATGGAAGAGAAAACAAACAGACAAAATAGCTGGTGTGTTTTTGAGGCAATATTAAATCTAATAAACATGACACCAATAGTATTGGCTTAAATCTGGTTGAGCGAGTTGGAGAATTCAACAACTTATTTTCCAACCACCAGCCTTTATCTCAGAGGCAGCCTCAATAGCTGAAAACAGAGTCTGAAACATGATCCTTCTCTGGCTTCTGCCAGGTGTGCACTGTCCCCGGCCTCTGCCCTGGCCTCGGCTCCCAGAGTGGGGATAATTAGAACATCATTTCTGCCAGGTTTGTTTTTTCTGGGTCACCGACTTCAGACTCGATCAAAATAGGAGTGTTGTACTGAAGTGAATTCATTTCCTCTTCCTCAGCCAGCCCCAGCTAATTTCCTGGGGGACTATGCTCCATAGGACCAGTGCACACAGACAGCTTCGGGACAAGCACGATAGTGTATAGAGGTCCAGGGCGGGGGCATGTGGTGGAGGAGGAGTTGGCGCCCTCCAAAGCAGCAGGCGTTCACTCCCCCGCTCAGTGGCAGGGCACTGACATGCAAAGGCCTCAGACAGACGTGCTGAGGAGCACATCACTGCAAACTGCTCTGGGAGCTGTTAGGGCTGGTGTTTAATGTTTATCCAATGGCCTCAGCCTGAAAGGCTCTGTAGAACATGCATAACAGAAGCTCAGCTTTATACCCCATTAGCACTCAAATTCCTAGCTGCCCAGAGGCATCTGGTGCTGACCAGAGAAGGCCAACCCATGCAAAGGTGGAGGTGGAGGGCACACGGAACCAAGGGGATAGAATGAGGTTGCTGAGAGTTCGGGAGAGACAGAGATAGAGCAAAGAGCCCTACGTGGTACAATAGAGGACAGAGACAACCTTTGTCCTCATCATATCACCAGCTTCCTTCCCTTATGTGACACAATTAGAGGGAGAGCCTTATCTCAGATGGGCCTTTATTCACTTCATTACTGACTACAGGTAAAACCTCTTCCAGCTAGGGAAGCAGTGGGCCTCAGAATGCAATGACAGCTCATATCTTGTTTTCAGATTTCCAGATTTCATGAGAAAAACAAAGCCTTCCTTTCACTTAAAGCAAAAAAGAAAAGTGGCTACATTACTGTGACCATTTTGGTCATGAGTGGGACATTTTGTTCTGCCTTTGTCTACCCCAAGACAGAAGAAATAAAGTAGAGAACAAGTGAGTGATAAGGTGGAGAGTGGCAGGGAACACAGGTCTCTGAAAAATGTCCAAGGGAGAATAGTTACCATCAAGGAAATGTCAGGGCAGGCATTGAGCTAAGTCCTAAATGAAATGAAACGAAACGAAAGTGAATCCATGTTTGGTTGGCCTGTGTGTCCAAGTGCCTAGCACATCACTTGGCACAAAGTATACACACACACACACACACACACACACACACACACACACACACACACACACACACCAATCATTTTGCCTCCAACTTTTTAATATGTCTCAAATCCATCATCCATCTACTTCTCTCCAAGTCCACTGTTGCCATCCCATTTCAGTCACCATCATCTACCTGGGTGGCTTCAGGAGCCTCCTGTCTGCCTGCCTCCTATCTTGCCACTTCCTCTTCCAAAATGGTCTCAACAGCAGCCAGAGTGATCTGTCTAGGACCCAAACTTCTACTTAAAGCTTTCAGTGGCTTCCCACAGGCATCAGCATAAAACTATTCATGTGCTTCCCTCATTTTTGTTGTTATAACAGAATATCACAGACTAGGTAACTTATACAGAAAAGTTGTTTTTTTACTAGGGGGAATTAAAAAAACAAAACTATTTGTTGGAGAGCAGGCCCTTTGTAGCACAGGCTTTCTCTACTAGGTAAATGTTCTAGGAACCCATCAGCATCAGTGTACTAGCTAGTGTTGTTGTGAGAGGCTGTGTTCAACTTCAGTGAATTTTTGTTTGGAGATTCTTTCAACATATTTGCCTGTTTCATGATGGGTGATTTACTAGTGCATCTGCCCACACCACACTGTGTTCAGCAGTTTTTGACCAAAAACTGCATGACCCCCTTGCCCTACCTTTCCTATTCACTCAATCTCACCCCAAGTGACTTTTGTTTTGTTTTGTTTTGTTTTGTTTCCTTGGATGAAAAATTCCTCAAAGGGAAATGTTTTGCCAATGTGGAAGAGAAGAAACAAAAATGCATAAGTATTAAAGGGCATCAAAATTGAATGAGCTCAAAAACTATTTTGAGTAGTGGAAAAAGCATCTCGATAGGTTGTATTGCAGCAAATGGAGAGTACTTTGAAGGTGACTGAAGTTTAAACATTCAAGAATAACACACAATTTTTTATAAATTCTGTTTTGAAGATGTCCCTCACTCATATATCATGGCTGGGAAGTCCAAGAGCATGACACTAGCATCTGAGGGCCTTCTTGCTGTGCTGCTTCATGATGGAGGGTATCATGTGACCAGAGGGCAAAAACATGCTAGCTTAAGTCTGTCTTCCTCTTCTTATAAAGCCTCCAGGCCCATCATGGGGGCCTCATCCTGATAACCTCAACTAATCTTAATTTTCTTTCAAATAGAAAAATGCAATTCAAAACCTCAATGATACTAATATATCATCTCACTCCAGTTAGAATGGTTATTATAAAAGAAGACCAAAAAATAACAAATGTTACTAAGGATGCAGAGAAAAGGGAATATAAATTAGTTCAGCCATTATGGAAAACAGTATGAAAGTTCCTCAAAAAATGTAAAATAGAAATACCATATGATCCATCAATCTCACAATTGAGTATATATCCAAAGAAAACAAAGTCAGTTTGTCAAAAAGATATATGTACCCTCATGTTTATTGAAGCATTATTCACAATATCCAAGATATGGAATCAACCTAAATGTTCATCAACAGATGAATGGATAAAGAAAATGTGGTATACGTACACAATGTAATACTATTCAACCATTAAAAAGAACAAAATTTGGTAAGTTGTGGCAACATGAATGAGCTTGGAGGACACAATGTTAAGTGAAGTAAACCAGACACAGAAACACAAACACTACATGCTCTCACTCATACATGGGAGCTAAAAAAGTTAATCTCACAGTAGTAGAGAGTAAAATACTGGTTACTAGAGTTGGGAAGAGGGAGACAGTGATAATCAGAGGTTGGTTAACAGATACAAAAATACTGCTACATAGGATGAATAAGTTCTACTGTTCTATAGCACTATAGGTGACCATAATAACCATTTATTATATATTTTAAATAGCTACAAGAATGGATTTTGAATGTTCACAAAGAAATGATAAATGTTTGAGGTGATGAATATTGCCCCACCTCCAAATGACATCAACTTATGAATCTAGAGATTACGTTTTCAACACATGAAATTTGGGGAACACTTTCAAACCGTAGTATCTGATATATTAATCTGCTAAGGTTGCCATACAAAATACCATAGACTGGGTGACTTAAGCAACATAAATTTATTTTCTATATTTCTGAAAGCTAGAAGTCTAAGACCAAAGTGTGATCTTGGTAATCTGATGATCAACATGAGCTTAGTTTCTCCTGAGTTCTCTCTTCAGCTTGCAAATGGCTGCCTTTTTGTTGGGTCCTAATACAGTCATCTCTCTGTGTACAGGCATTCCTCTTCTTATTGTAGAAACACCAGTTCTATTGGATTAGAGCCCTACCCTTACTACCTCATTTGATCTTAATTAATTCTTTGAAGAGCCTATCTACAAATTCAGTCACATTGGGGGATAGGGCTTCAATATATGAATTTAGGAAGGACACTATGTAGTCCATAACACTTGGCCTCATCACTCAATGCTCCCACACGCTCAGTCTCTGTTGGCCTTACTGAATTACTTGCAGTAACCTGGATGGGTCATGCTGTCTCTAACCTCTGGACCTTCACCCATGCTTCTCCCCTGTACTCAGATTGTCCTCAACCCTGCCTCTTTCTCAATTTCCATCCTCTCATACTGGTCATTTCAAACCTACTTAGGTACCACCTTCTCTGGGAATATCCTGGCTCTTGACTCCCAGTCTGAGTGAAGTGTTCTACTCTCTCTGCTGCTTCCTTTTTGTAACATGGCCAGTAATTGCCTAATGGTTTCTCCAAGGGCAGTAGACCATAAGTCATTTGAGGACAGAGGCTGTGTCATGGTTATTCTTGAATCCCCAAAGCCTAACACAAAATTTAGCCCAGAAAAAAAGTACTCAGCAAATATGCAATGTTTTTATTGTTGTTTTTGTTATTGGTTTTGGTTTTTTGTGGAAAGGGGGGGCCTATAGGATGAACCAGGTCAAGCTAAGTGAGCAATACACTATGCTTTAGGATTCCAACTCAACAGCTGATGAACTGTACCCAAGACCAACACTAGAACTATGCTAATGGCAGGTCCTATCCCAAAAGGTTACTGATTGAATACAATCTGGTTTCTTCAGCACTGTGTAGTTCAGAAGCCTGTATGACTTTGAGCTTCTATGCATCCATTGGATAGTGAGAGAGATTTTGTGTATCACAGCAATCTAGAGGCCCTAGGAGGTGGTCCTGAGAATCACCTGGAAGGCTTATTAAAACATAGGTGCCTAGTGCCCACCCCCAGAGTTTCTGATTCAATAGGTCTAGGGTGGGGCCTGAGAATTTTCATTTCCAGCAAATTGGGTAATGCTTTTGCTGCTGGTCCAGAGATCACACTCTGAAAACTGCAGCTCTAGAGAATCTTACTGGAATTATTGGTAAAAAAATTACATTATGTTAGAAATGGCATAAATGATAAGTAAGTTTACCAGAACATATGATTAATCATCCCCCTTTCCACTTTGCCAGTCATCACCAATGTTGCTGAAATTCATAAGACATGAGGAAACAATAAGCCAATTTTTCTTTCAAGGTAAAACTGCCCCTGGAAAGATATGGTAACCTAATGGTGTGTGTTCTGTTCTTTTTGCAGGTGCGATTAGAGTGGCCAACAGACCTTGCAGTCAATCCCATGGACAATTCATTGTATGTCTTGGATAACAACATTGTGCTGCAAATTGCTGAAAACAGGCGCGTGCGGATCATTGCAGGGCGCCCCATTCACTGCCAGGTGCCAGGCATCGATCATTTCTTGGTCAGCAAGGTAGCAATTCATTCCACTCTAGAGTCAGCTAGGGCCATCAGCGTCTCCCACAGCGGGCTGCTCTTCATCGCTGAAACAGATGAGAGGAAAGTAAACCGCATTCAGCAAGTGACCACCAATGGGGAGATCTCCATCATTGCTGGTGCCCCTACCGACTGTGACTGCAAAATTGATCCCAACTGTGACTGTTTTTCAGGTATGACCTTTTTAGCAATTCACCAGCTCCCCCTCTCTGTTTTCAAAAGAAAAACGTGTATTGGAAAAGTCCAAAATAAAGCAAAAGTATTTCTTGGTATGAGCTAGTGGAGGAAGCAATGGGTTGGGAATCAGATCACCTAGTTGTTCTGACACCTGACTCACTGAGTGACCCTAGGAAAGCCTTGAAACCTCCTATGATTCACTCGCCTCATTGTTTAATAGAGATAGCACTTGTCTCTGTCATATCGCCTTGCTGTTCCAAGGATAAACTAGTATAATAAAAATGTTTATACTCTTAAAAAGTTAAGACCACCATACATATGTAAGATCATGATATTATTTGTACTTTAGAGAAAAGAAAACTAGGTAAAACCCACACTTACTGATTTAGCAAGGGAAAAAAATATATGCTTCCCCCTAAATGGCTGACTTCCAGATTAAAAGCATGTGATATCTGAGACTCAAAGGGACTAACAGTAGACTGCTTTGGGGATAGATGAGCAAAATTAAGTCTCACAATGGAGAGTTCTCAGGACATCTGCCAGCTACATTGCTTTTAAACATCCAGGCCAGGCACAGCGGTTTGTACCTGTTATCTCATCACTTTGGGAAGCTGAGGCAGAAGAATCACTTGAGCTTAGGAATTTGAAGTTGCAGTGAGCTCTCCAGCCTGGGTGACAAAGCAAGACCTTGTCTCTAAAATAAAATAAATAAAAAATTTAAAACTTTCTCCATGACCAGTAGTGCCCTTTACTTCTAATTAAAATACGAGAAAAGAGCCTTTTCTCCAAAACAAAGAGTAGATATTCCTGATAGCAAACAGTCCTCTAAATGTCAACAGATGCATTTATTGCTGGGTTGTGGAAATCCCTCCATGCTACACACAGCCCTATTAAACTTCTCATCCAGGCCTGAATGGTCCTCTTAACCTTTGCTTTTCCTTAGGCCAGAGGAGTCAGGAGCGAGCAATTTGGTCGATATGACTTGTGATCAATATTTCCAATGTTTTCCGACAATTAGTTTTATAGATATTTTACTAGTTTGTTTCTTTCATTCAAGGTAAATCTAATGCTTATTTTATTTATCAGATTCGATGTTCTGAATCACTGTCGCACTTACAGATTTAGTATACTTTGACAGTGTGACAATGGGAATTAACAGAAGAAAGGGCCTCTGGGCATGGTAGGATCAGAAAGTCCTGAGCCAGTTTCTATAAACATTGACAGGCATAAGGCTCATGGATTTCCAGCCAAATTTGTGCGGCTATCATTATTTGCTGTCTTGTATCTTGCAATACAATGGATTCTGAACAGCAGGACTGAGATTTTTACAAAATTGGTATAACTGAGATAATTACATCTTACTGTTCATCTGCAGTGGTACTGACTCAAGAATTACAATCTTTTGAATAATAGGTTTCATATTTGTCAAGGGGGGCATGTGGAGAATGTTGGTTCACTGATTGTTTCCTTTAAAATGATTCTTGATGCACAGTGCTTTCTGTCAATAGTATATTAATATAAATGCTTGTGGTGCCAATTATTAAAATCAGAGACTTTCTTCCACAGGTGATGGTGGCTATGCCAAAGATGCAAAGATGAAGGCCCCTTTCTCATTGGCAGTGTCGCCTGATGGTACCCTTTATGTGGCAGACCTTGGAAATGTTCGAATTCGTACCATCAGCAGGAACCAAGCCCACCTGAATGACATGAACCTTTATGAGATAGCCTCACCAGCTGATCAGGAGCTGTACCAGTTCACGGTCAATGGAACCCACCTGCACACCCTAAATTTGATAACGAGGGATTATGTGTATAACTTCACCTACAATGCTGAAGGTGACTTGGGTGCTATTACTAGCAGCAATGGCAATTCGGTGCATATTCGCCGTGATGCAGGCGGGATGCCCCTTTGGCTTGTGGTGCCTGGCGGGCAGGTGTACTGGCTGACCATAAGCAGCAATGGAGTCCTGAAAAGAGTGTCAGCCCAAGGCTATAATCTGGCCCTGATGACCTATCCAGGAAACACGGGACTTCTGGCTACCAAAAGTAACGAAAATGGATGGACAACTGTTTATGAGTAAGTTTCAAATTCTCAACATAGGCTTTGTTAGGCTTTTATTTGAAACTGTATTACAGTGGGAAAATGGCTTAGTAATTGCTGGGTGTTGCCTGCTATTTTCTCCTAATAACCACAATAAAAAATAAAAAGCCAAGGAGAAAATGTTACCAACTCCTAGGGTTCAGACCCATTTTTCCAGAGCAGTTTGCATAGCATAATAATAAAAACATAGAATGAATGAAGGAAGAATCAAGTGTCGCACTGCAGGAGATAGGAATGAGGTGGAAGTCCAAGTACTCAAGAAATTTACAGCATCCCTGGGAAGACAAGGTAAAATTTCATTTAAATAACTAAACTAGAGAATGGTTCTAAAGCAGCAAAGAAACAGTGTGATTTAACAAGTATTTATTGAGCCCAGTGGGGTTTAATGAATGAATAAATAAACGTGTGCCCAGCCCAGCCCAGCCCAACTCAGTGTAAGTTACTGTGGGAGGCAAAACAGAAGTTAAAATATAAGAAGTAGACCCCGGAAAGCAAGTGTAAGATTATGTGGGGCGAATGCTGAATAGGAGAGGCTCCAGTCCATTGGCTGCTTCTGTAAAATGTCGAGCCAAATGCAGCTTGTACAGGCTTGGGCTTCCTCAGGGTCCCTGCACAAGTCAAAGAAGCCGGTTTGTTTTGGCATTTACAGACTGAATCTGTGATAACTTTGTTTAACACAAAGTGTGTCTGACAACAAGCTACTAGGAGGTGCCATGACACGGAAATAGAGACCATTGTCCTTGCCTTTTGAAGCATGAACAACCTTGTTTGCAAGTCAACCCATTTAGAAAACTGGTCTGGCAGCACTCAGGAAGCATTTTCCCCACAAAGGGAGTTGCTGAATTTTTAACCAGTATGCTGAGTGAGGATAATCCGTGGAATCTGAACCCAGAGTCTAAAATGGCATTAAAGTTGAAAAATGTGAGAAGTGGGGATTTTAAGTACAAGAGGTTCCAGGCATGACTATTCTGTGAGGATGTATAATATATGAAGAGAATAATCCAATCCTATGAAAGCCTCCTGGAGAAAGGAACAAAACAATTGGCCTTCAAGTTTTGGATCATTTCCCAAAGAAATGCCATTTATACAAAGAGCTGGACAGCTATTTTAGTTTCTCTTAGAAAAATGTATTCAGTTGTTTCTGTTGCAAGTCTTCCTGTATTTTTTGAAAATTTTCTCTTACATCTTAATAAGAGTAATAAAAGCTACTGTTCACTAAAGACTTACTAAGTGCCAGGTACTGTACAAGGTGATTCACATACATTTTTCTATTTGATCCTTGTAATAACAACATGGGATAAGTGCTCCTAAGTATGCTCACTTTATGGATGAGAAAACTGAGGCACAGAATGGTTAACTTGTCCTGATTCACACAGATGTCCAGAATTTAAGCCCCAACAGTCTGACCCAAGAGATCATGTTTTAAAATATACTACTCTTGGAAAAGATAAAGTTTCTAATGAGAATCTTTAATGTCTTTTGCAAAATCTTATGCCAGGTCACATAGCAACTGAAATTAGGCAAACGATTATTGTGAAAGCTAATAGTGAAATTCAGTTCCCTAACAAGAAGTGGCTGAAGTATTAACTAGTTTTCAAAATAATCAGTTCAACCATTCACTTATCTAACAAATAGTTACTGAATACCCACTATGTACTAGACACTGTTCTAGGTGCTGGGGATCTAGCCGTGAACAAAACAAGTAAAAAACATGGAGCTTATATTGTAGTGGAGGGAGACGAGTAAGATGTACAGAACTTCAGATGGTGATAAGTTCTATGGAGAAAAATATAGTAGGATGAGAGACAGCAAATAGGTGGGGCAGATGAGGTTTTTATTTCAGAATGGGTGGGCAGGAAAGGCCTCACTAAGAAGGTAAAATTTGAGCAAAGACCTGTAGGAGGTAAGAGAGTAAGCCATAGGAATATCCGTTTGGCTGGGGGTGTGTATTCCAGGCAGAGGGAGCAGCAGTGCAAAGGCCCTGTAGCAGGAACAAATCTGGCATGTTCAAGAAATAGTAAGGCAACCATTGTGACTGGAGCAGAGTCAGTAAGAGTAGTGGGGACAGGAAATTAATCAAGTGGCCAGAGCTACTTCATGTAGGGTCTTGTAGGCCACTGTAAGGACTTTGACTTTTACTCTGAGTCAGAAGTGGAGCTACTAGAGAATTCTGAGTAAAGAAGTTACGTAATCTGACTTAACGTTTTTAAAGAATCATTTTGTATTGAAAACAGACTATGTAGTAGAAGCAGGAGAACCTAATTAGGGAGTGGGGAGAGCTATTGCAATAACCCAGGCAAAAGATGGTGACTTGGACCAAGGAGTGGGAACAGTAAGAGATGCTAAACTTTTAAATACATTTTGACAATGCTGCTATCAGAACTTGGATATCAGAGATTGGATGTGGGGTGTGGATGAAAGAGAGGTCAAAGATAACTCCAGAGTTTTTGGCATGAGCAACTGAATGTTGGAGTTTTCATTTACAAAGAGGGGGAGACTATGCAAGAAGCACATTTTATTGGAACACTGTGAGGTGTAGATTGGGAATTCAGTTTTGAATATGGTCAATTTAGTTAGGCTTCTAAGTGAAAATATCAAGTAGGCAATTGGATGCATGAGTCTGGAATTGAGGGGAGAGGCTAGAGAATGAAATCTAGAATCTACCAGTGTTTACATTTAAAACCATGAGATGGGATGAGATATCCATTAAAATGAATGTAGACAATAAAGAAAAGAGATGTGAAGACTGATCAGGAAGCATTCCAATGTTTGGAGTTGAGGATATGAAGAGGAACCAACAAAAGAGACTAAGAAGGAAAGGTCAGTGAAGTAGGAAGAAAACCAGGAGGGTAGGATGTCCTGGAAACCAACTTTCTTAGTCTGTGTTGCTCTAGCAAAATACGTAAGACTCAGTAATTTATAAAGAGCAGATGTTTATTTCTTGTAGTTCTGGACGTTGGAAAGTCCAAGATCAAGGTCGCAGCAGGGCTGGTGTCTGGTGAAGGCTGTTCTTTGCTTCCAAGATGGCACTGCTTTCTGGGTCCTTGTACAGTGGAAGGGGGTAGCAACAAAAGGACCTAACTCGTTCTCTCCAACCCTTTTATAAGGTCATGAATTTCATTCATGGGGGCAGAGCCAACATGCCCTAGTCTCCTCCTCTCTTAGTACTATAATATTGAATTTGGGGGGACACATTCAGACCATAGCATCAGTTAAAACAGGTGATTCAAGCATAAAGGAGTGATCAGCTGTGTCAAATACTACTGATAAGTCAAGATGAGGACTTAGAATTGCTCATTTGATTTAGCACTGTGGAGATCATCATTTACCTTGAGAAGAGCAGGTATTATGATGGGAGACCAAAGCCTAAGTAGAATATTTTCTTAAGAGAGAATGGATACACAAATGCTCATAGCAGCATTATTCATAATAGCTGAGAAGTATAAACAACCCAAGTACCCATCAAGTGATGAAAGGTCAAACAAAATGTGATATATCCATATCATGAAATATTATTCAACCATAAAAAAGAATGGAGTTCTGATGTTCAGGTACATAGTACAACACAGATGAACCTCAAAACATTATGCTAAGTGAAAAGAGCCAACTATAAAAGGACACATATCATATGATTTCATTTATATGAAATGTCCAGAAAAGATAAATCCATAAAGATTAAAAATAGATTAGTAGTTGTCAAAAGCCAGGGAGAGGAGAGTAACTGCTAATGAGTATGGGGTTTATTTTTCGGGTGATGGGAATGTTCTAGAAGTCGTAGTGATGGTTGCACAACATTGCAAGTGTACCAAAAGTCGCAGGATTGCATAATTTAAAATGGTGACTTTTATGGTATGCAAATTATATCTCAACAAAAACAATAATAGTAATAAAAAGAAGGTGATGAGAAAGAGAGAGATTGGAGACAATGAGTAAAGAACTCTTTTGAAAAGCTTCCCTGGAAAGAGGAGCAAAGAAATTGGAGCTGGAAGGGAAATGAAATAAACAGAAGGGTTTCTTTTTTAATAAAAGAAATAATGCTATATTTGTATACTGACAAAAAATGATCCAATACAGAGGGTAAAGTTGACAATGCCAAACAGAGAAGAGAATTTTGCTGTCAAGATCAGTTTGTGTGCCCGTTTTCCAGTGGCAGCACTGTGTGGTAGGCAAAATTTTCACAGCAAGTGGAACCCAGGCCGGTTACCCAGACCCTGGTCAGCAGGAAGTAAAAAGGTATCCATTGACATCATTGTTGAATAACCAACCTTAAGCCACTGAGAGATGAGAAACACAGGCATCCACATGGGGGTAGTCATGAAATGTTATGGCCACAAAGAGACATTAGGTGTCATTTGACAAGTAAGGAAACTGAGACCCAGAATAGGGAAGTAACTTGTCCATTCACATAGCGAGCTGACTGATCTAAAGTCAGACGTTTGAGATTCCATTCCAGTGGTTTTTATGCCTCCCGGGGAAAAGAGGAGTGATCATCCAAGTCTGGAGAGCTAGAAGATTTCCCCTGTAGGAACAGGAAGAGAGGAATATGGTAGCACTACGACATTAAAAGGGAAGCTGAATAATCATTTGTTCATCCTTCCGCCTTAACTCCAGCCAGAATTATGCTGAAACCCTCTTGGCCAAATAGCACCTGTTGAGAGGAGAGGGTACCTCTTCCTCCTGGAGCAATCCATTCTGGTACTGAATAACGGTCTTTGACGAAACACAGCCCCTGTCCCTTCTTGCCCGTACATATAGGAATGAGCAACTTTCCAACCTTCAGAATGTGACTAATTCTTCCTACAGTCTTCTCTGTACAAAATCTGACTTCTTTCACTTTTATCCTCCAATGCTTTGGCCAGTTCTGAGCATTCCTTCAAGCTTTTTTCTTGTCCTTCAGAAGTTGGGGAACACCGAATTGGACCTACCCTTCTACTCTAGGTCAGAGCAGTGCCAAGATGGCTAAAAGACTGATACCA